TTTAGTTTGACTAATACAGCCTAAAATTTGCAGTAACTTGCAATATTCCTAATTTTAGGTTTTGTGAATAAAACTCCCATGCTCAAACGGGCAGCAAAGTTCCCACGCAGAATGCCCAGAATATGGTGCTGAACAGTTTGAATAGTTCGTTTTCAGGTGCTCAGTTTGCAAAATGTTCCCACCCCTACAGAGTAAATAAATCAAGACTTTAATGCAATTGCCAAAGATCAATAATGTCAGTCATTCGAGTGTCTGAATGCTGACGGTAACAGATTGCATTGCAATGTTCCGCTGGTTTTTCGTAGCAGCTGAATGTCTGTAGCCTGTCATAATGTTGTTTATATTTAAATTAACACAATACGACCATATTACTAAACACATGCTAATTCTGGTGAACTTGTGCTTGGTATGTATGGAAAGTAAATGTGTTCAACCTCACAGATTCTAGTTTTCCTAGATGGTGTGTGTTTTCTTTTAGAGATTGCTGCAGCCTCTGCTTTTTCTGCTGAATTTTTTTTTTTTTTGGCACTCGTTAGTAAATGGAGCCCACTATATTTTTAAAGTGACACTCATGTAAACATAAAACTACAGTTTTCAGGCACCATCCCTGGTTTAAAGGGATGCTATGTGCATCAAAGCAACTTTAGCTTAAAGGACCACTATAGTGCCAGGAAAACATACTAGTTTTCCTGGCACTATAGTGCCCTGAGGGTGTCCCCACCCTCAGGGTCCCACTCCCGTGGCGCTGAGGGGGGAGGAAGGGGTTAATCCCTTACCTTTTTTCCAGCGCCGGGGTCCCTCAGCGCTGGGACTCTCCTCCCTCTTCTTCCGTCGCCGGCTGAAAGCGCATTCGCGGCAAGAGCCGCGCGCACATTCAGCCAGTCTCATAGGAAAGCATTCTTAATGCTTTCCTATGGTCTTCTCACTGTGTAAATCACAGTGAGAAGCGCGGAAGCGCCTCTAGCGGCTGTCAATGAGATAGCCACTAGAGGCTGTATTAACCCTAAAGTAAACATAGTTTCTCTGAAACTGCTATGTTTACTTCAAAAAGGGTTAAACCTAGCTGGACCTGGCACCCAGACCACTTCATTAGGCTGAAGTGGTCTGGGTGCCTATAGTGGTCCTTTAATTAAGCAGTTTTGATGTATAGATCATACCCTTACAGTCTTACTTTTACAAGTTAAATCACTTTTGTTTCTGTTTGTGCAGCCCTAGCCACAGCAGCCACACCACAGTCTGCATAAAAAAAATATTTCATTTACAATCAGACATTAACTTGTTTTAGAAGTTTTATCTCCAGCTCTGTAAATTGAACTTTAATCACACCGGAGACTCCTGCAAAGCCTGGGAGTCTATTAACAAACCAGGATATAAGAAATTCTAGATTAAACAGACTGCAATAGGGAATCTAACAAATCCAATAGGATATAGGGACATACATCACTTTGAGACAATGGTCTTGTTCAAAAGCTTTAGCTGTAGAAGATACAGTTGCCTCACTCTGCAGGCTGAAAAAGCAAGTAAATATGTGTGTGGGGGGGAGGGGGGAGCTAAATAACCTCCAAGTGTATAAACATGTATTACATACTTTTAAATGTTTGTCTTGCTTTATTTTGGTTTGTATATTTGCTTAAAAGTGTTTGCTGGTTTTAAAAAAAATTATCAAGTGATGCATGTTCTTTTATGTATAAAAAACAAGTCAAAGGTGAAGAAGAATGAAGATATACACCTTCTCAGTCACCTTCACTTACCTACTGTTAACGGGCACATCTACAGCTTTCACTTACAGGTTCTGAGTCCAGTCGTTTAAGAAATTGATGTGGAATCATTCAATAAATTGATTGTCTTGTGTATCTGCCCCCGGCCAAATTAAGAAGTAGTGCGTGCACGCTCCTAAAGTAATTCACACCAGACACAGGTTTCGGGTTAATGGAAAACTTGAGGAATGTTTATTCTGGGGGGACGGCATGTCCCTTATAAAGCAAAATTACATCATATGCATTGTGAGAGATAACATGGAATAATACATCAATAATCGGTTAGGTGTTAAGTGGTTTATTTAGTGCTCTTTCTACCGGGTGTGATGTCACTGGTATCTTGGAGGTCTCCCCCAGATTCCAGCGCCATCTTGTTAATGAGGGTGTTAGTTGATGTCAAAAAGGGAAACTCCCTAGCGGCCATTTTAGGTCAATCACATAGAAAGTTGAATAATGCTGATTGTAGTTATATTGAGTAAATAGACATTTTACCAACATGGATTGGGTTAATATTTTTGTTCACAACAGAAATCTTAACACATTAATTTACTAAATATTTTAATATACAATGTATTTTCTCTCCCTACACCGTTTCACCTCTGACTCATCTCAACTTCATACACACACAGATTCTACATCCACAGCTTGTTTCACCCTATTTCACCTTTTTACTCTACAACAACCTCAGACATGTCATAAACTTTACACATATGTTTAGTCTGAAAAACACTGCTCACCTGCCAGCCTCTCTTACCTTCTGTATTTATTATTCTATACCTCATGTGCACTTTTGTCCAGCATCCTCTAGATTGGCATTTTTGTTTAAAGAGGACCTTTCTCAACACATTTTCTTCGACTTAACCTCTTTGTCATAATTTATTTTCATGATTTAATTTACATAATGTGCAGAGCTGTCAAATTTGATCTTCATATGTGTGAGTGGAGAGAGTGTAGGGTATGCTTAGGGGTTATAGAGTTTGTGTACTGTGTGTATGTGAGTGAAGGGTGTGTGGTGTGTGTACAAGAGTTGTAGAGTGTGTGTAATGTATTTGTGTGTAAGTGAGGGCGTGTAGTGTGTGTATTTAAAGGCGTATCGACAGTGTCTAGTGTGTGTGTAAATGCAGAGGGTGTATATAAGGGGTATAGAGAGTGTGTTGTGTGTAAGTGCCAGGGGTGTAGTGTGTCAATAGGGGTCAGGATGGCAGGCGGTGTAGTGGATTAATATAGGGTAAGATGGGGGGGTGTAGTGAATTAATAGGGGGGTATGATGGCAGGGAGTGTAGGGGGTTAACAGGGGGTATGATGGCAGGGGGTGTAGTGGGTTAATAGGGGGTATGATGGCAGTGGAGTTGTGGGTTAACAGGGGGTATGATGGCAGGGGTTGTAGAGGGTTAATAGGGGGTAACATGGCAACGGGCGTGGTGAGTTAATTGGGTGAACATGGCAGGCGGTGTAGTGGATTAATAAAGGGTAAGATGGCAGGGGGTGTAGTGGGTTAATAGGGGGTATGATGGCAGGGGGTGTAGTGAGTTAATAGATGGTATGAAGCAGGGCATGTAGTGGGTTAATAGATGGTCTGAAGGAAGGGGTGTAGTGAGTTAATAAATGGTATGAAGCAGGGGGTGTAATAGCAAGACATTCTAAAAGTAATTAATGCAAGTAGAATGCAAAACAATCCAGTTATGAGCGTTGACAAAACAGGTTAAAAAAAATCCAGGTTAAAAAATAATCTCGATCTGAAGATGGATATCTCAATTTATTAATTGACTGAAAATTGTGTGTGTGTGTGTGTAATATGAATGAATGCATGAATGTTTTATTTTGCTAAATTTGGATTTCAGATAAACAAAGAACAAAGCAACAATAAATAGAATTATCAATTAGCAAGTTTCCAGTGTTTTTAGCTGCTTAATCAATGTAATCATTAAAATATATATAATCCACTCCCCCTCCCTCTAATTACCTTGCCGGGGTACAGGGGAGCAGGCTGATGACGATCTTAGGGGGGCCAGCCGGCTGGTCTCCCTTTCGTGAGCGCCAGTATTAGCGAGCGTTGCCGCAGGCAGGCAAGCACTGATTCACAAACGTTCCTTCGGCCCATGTAGGAACAGTGGTACCTCTTAGGGCCGCTGCTGCACTGCATGGGCTGGCAGGGGAGATCCTGTGATCTCCCCTGCCGGCCCCGGCCCATGGCCCTCACGGCCCACCAGGCATTTTCCCAGTTTGCCCGATGGCCAGTCCGGGCTTGGTCCAGATTATTCCAAATATTTGGTAAAAATAGCCACATTTGATTTTCTTTTCAATGTAGCTATTTTTCCTCAACCCTTTCAAATCTCTGGTCAGTTCTTAAACAAAAACACCCCAAACTGTCAAAAACAAAAACAAACAAAAAAACCTAACAAAGACTAATACACCAATTTCTTTATCCTTAATTCTCAATATCCATAACCCTAAAAATCCACAAACACTGACCACCAATTGTATCCTTTTTTTTTTTTGGTCAATCTGTTTTTTTTTTATTGAGGTAGGTTGTACAGTATAATAGAAAGACATGTATAAAAGCATAAGTAGAGATAAGTGCTTTAGGTGTTGCGGTACGTCCTACATTACATACCTCATTTTTATATATAAGAACACTGGAGAAATGAATATAACATCAGCCTAGCATTTGCTAAAATAGGCAAATGTAAGGATGAGGGTACTTAAAACACTAGGACAGGTGGGTAGCTTCGGATTGCACCGGTGTGCTACGAATAAAAAGGATAAGTATCCTCAGCGGTGTCTGGCAGGCACGCTTAAAAACCCTATTTACCCTGGGGTGTCAGGAGTGGGGGAGGTGTCTGGATTGCCTTCATCTGTCTCCTGGTGCTTTCCTGGGTGTGAATGGCACTACGTTATCAATGTCCCATTGTGGAGACGGCCTCTGAGGTTGGTTTGTCATGCAGGCCAATAGCCTGGTAAAAGCCAGGTGCTCCCATTATATCTTCCAATCTGTGTTCCTCGCCCTCACAGCGTCATCTATACCGAATCCAAGCCGCTTGTAGGTGATGGGTTATGGGACAAAGGGATGCTCTCCATGTGAGAGTGGCTCTGCTGAAATCCTCATAGAAAGACATAGTGGAGCTTTCAAAGTTCAGTGGTTGGCTGTCTCGAACGACAGACATCACTGCTCGCTCTTCGTTGGCAATTGACCGGAATCTCACAAATATATCCCTTAGATGGCAGTAGAGAGGAGAATAAGCATCAGGTGAACTGAGGCAATTCTTCTGTGCCAATGTTGCTGCTCAACTCTTGACTCTTCAGGTTGCGCCGGCGCATGGTATCTTCCAGACTTGCCACATGGCGGGTGAGAGCTGTGTGTTGCTGTGTAAGCTGCTGGGTGAGTATAGCAGCTTTAAGTTGGGCCTGGTGAGCTGTCGTCAATTCATCCTCCACAGACTTCATACAACCTAAGAGGGTATGCATGTCCTCCTATATCCGTGCACAGTCCGCTTGAAACATTGTGCGCAGTTCATGCAGGAGATGTTTAAGATTGCCTTTAGTGGTTGGGGCACTGTCTTCATCCACCTTAGTAGGTCTGTAATCGATCCTCATAGTTGAAACCCTGGCATCTGGAATTATGTCCGGAGCATCATACTCCAGATCCCCAAGGAGCAGGAAGGCAACTGTTGCGATGGGGCCGCTATTCTAGGTTGCTGCCTAGTGCGGAGCAGATCCTCGATATCATGGGATCCCTTACACCTATCTGGCCGGGACTTTTGGATTTTCTTCCCCATAGTAATCAGAGGAGGTAGGTGTTGGCCTATTAGTGGGCTTAAATCATCATCTCTCCCGGAGCTCACAGGAAATGCAACTTATCACGGTGGCGGCTAGCTCTGCCCCTCCCACCAATGTTATCTTTAATTAGTTATTAGGTTTAAATCTAATTCCCTATCACTATCCTTAAATTATCCCACCATTAAAAGGTAAAAACAAAGTATTTAACCATGCCCGCAATCTCAAAATCTAAACCCTAAATCTCCTTAACACTAAACAACTACAAACTAACCTACCAGACGCAATAACTTTGGGCTTCTAATCTTTATTCTAAATCAACTTACCTTAAACATCTAAAATCTACTCCTTGTCCCCTGATATTTATTCTAAATCCCCTAACCCTAAAAACTGACAAACTATTACCTCTCTGATTGTAATACTTTAAGGGACACTGTAATCACCAAAACAACTGTAACTAAATAAAGTAGTTTTGGTGTATAGATCATGCCTCGGAAGTCTCAGACTTCTCAATTACAGTCATGGGAAAAAGAAAGTACACCCTCTTTGAATTTTATGGCAAGACAGGAGGCGTCGTATTTGCTTTACCTTCTTTACTGAAAACATCCAGCAGCAAAGTAATAGTTAACAGATTTTTTTAAAACAACCAATCAGAACAAAATAACAGCAGTATGAAATCCCTCAGACCCTCCAACTTCCTCTTTCTTTGCTGCTGCCTCCAGGTGAGCACTGTCCAACTCAGAGAGTGTGTCTGCTCTGGGTTCTTTTGTGTATTTAAAATAATACAATAAAAGTATAAAAGACTGCCCCAAAGCAAATGGGTAGTCTAAAAAAATCTTACTTTTATTTAAACAAATGATAATAAAATCACAACGCGTTTCGCCCTATTAGGCTTCTTCAAGTGAGAGCCTCAAGTGTTGTGATTTTATTAATGCGTTGTGATTTTATTAATGCGTTGTGATTTTATTAATGCGTTGTGATTTTATTACCATTTATTTAAATAAAAGTAAGATTTTTTAGACAACCTATTTGCTTTGGGCAGTCTTTTATACTTTTTTTTTTTTTTTTGTACCTGGCACAACCTATTTCCCATACACATCAGGTCTAGCATCAAAAGTATCTTTTGATTGTTCCACCCATGCTGTTACCACAGAGCGGTTTCTCAAAATTGTAAGTACATTTAATTTTGCTATTACATATTTGCAAATATGGAGACCACTGTGGGCCTTCTTTTCTTTAATTGCATATGAATTACACTACAACTACCGTCTGAGGGATATCCTACAAGTGGGGAGTTGAAATACCACTGTAAGCTGTTTTACCGAGAGCTGGTTATTGCTCTGAAAAATGTGAGTTGGCAATTTTTAGTTCTATGTTGTCTATAGTCCATAGACTTACAATACTGCACTATTGCTCTCCTATTTTCTCTTTTGCATATGCCATTGATGTGTGATACCACTCCAGATACATCTTAATCAACATTTGAAGACTTTTAAAACCTCAAAAGGACATTTTTATCTTTTACCTTGGTACCTCTTTTATTACTTACCACAATATTGTATTTATTTGTTTATCACTTACCACAATATTGCATTTATTTAGGCGCTACATGTGAAGAAGTCCCTCTTTTATGTGCAATATTTCTTCCCTATTCATTCGGTAGATGTAACTACCGAACAGAGACCACCCCCCTGGCTCATTAAACTTCAAAGGATGCCTCAATTGAACCCTCTATTTGTGTGACCGGCGTTCGTACTACCGAACGCCACGTGGCTGAGAAAACGGCGGCCATCTTTTTTCAGGCGAACAAAGGCAGCGGGACTTGGTCGTCGAGTGTCTGGAACTAAAATCGAACACTCGACTTCCCAAACACCGGTCTCAACAAGCGAAACCCGGGACCTTTATTTCCCGAACAGCTAGAAGAGCGCTGTTCGGTACTTTTGTGCATTCGAATGAGGGGGACAATCGCTGCTAAGAGCCAGGGGAATCCATTTGTGGAAATATTCGTTTTTTTGCCATTTAACTGAATAGACCGGCAAAACTACCCAAACTCCTAGAACTAGTTTGTGCAGCCACCTCGCGGTTAGCCGATCACAAAAGACTTCCATACTTTTTGAGAACCCCTGAACCGATCTGGGTGAAATTTGAATATGTTGGTCACCCAGATCGGGGCTATCAGGGGACATATTGTTTGTAGGGATACCACATGCCTAGAGGGGTGTTCTGAATATTGGGGAAAATTTTAATTTTTCTGCCTGGAGATAATCAAGTTATTACTTTATCAGACTTGATTATCTCCAGGACAAGGGGAGGGAATTGTATGTTTGTGCTGGGAGTGTTTTACGTTTTTCCTGTAAATTATTGGTTGTACTGTGTCCCTCCCTCTGGGAGGTCCCCTTGCATGGGGACTTGCATAAAAGACAGTGTGTGGTCATTAAAAGCCAGTTCTGTTGTACCCTTCTTCGGCTGATGTTTGGGGATTCGTATGCTTTATTAAGGGAATCATCTTGTAAAGCTATTGTGTTCGTATGGATTTAGTTTATTTCATCTACCGAAAGGAGAGCTATAATCACTGATGCTCTGGCGGTTCAGGAGGAAACTACCGAATGAGGATTGGATATCCTAGGTTTTCTTACACTACCTGTATCCTTTGTTCTGTTTGTTCAATTTATCCTTGAAGGTGACCTTCCTATTCAGGTGTGCAGCCCCCTTGTGATCAGTTATTGTAGGGCTGTTCCACCCGTGCCTTTTGTCTTCTATAGATGTCTCTCAGACCGTGTCAGGATCAATTTTGTCGAACCTCTGAGACAGGTCACCGCTCCACGGCCGATATGCAGGACAAAAGAGACGTCCGATCTTGTTCATTCAGACAATTTATCCCTGCTGGACAAGGGCACAGTGGGGTGGGTGACTGGCCCACCTCACTTTTTGAACAATATCTCCCTTGTATGGAACTAGACAAGGGACTTCCGTCCTGATATCAGTCTGCATGACCTCAATGTGTATGTCGTCTATCGACTTTTCAAGATGGAGGGCATCCATCTCCTCAGAGACCTGCTCTCCGAGGGCGATTGGTTCACTCAACTGCCTACCTCACGGTCCCAATCCATCTGATCCAGGACCTGGGATTCGCCCTCTATGTGGAAAAATCAGAACTGATTCCCTCTCAGTCGGTCCAGTTTCATTGGTGGCATTGGCATATGGAGGCCTGGACCGGCAAGGCGATTTTCAGACTTCAACCAGACTTCGTCCTGGAATCAGACGCCAGCTGTATGGACTGGGGCGCTACTTGTGATGGCGTGGCGACAGGAGGACTCTGGACTCCGGAGGAGAAAGCTCTTCACATGTACTCTCTGGAACTAACTGCAGGATCGGTCGCCACTTGCAGCTTCACCAAGCGTAAGAATCACTGCTTGCTGCTTCACCGCATGCAGTGGCGTACACACTAATCCATGGGCTCCCTCCACCACCCACCGCCACCCCATACAGGCACAGACAGAGATACACACAGACACACATACATACATACTGACAGACACACATAAACACAGATACAGACATAGACACACACACAGACAGACACACATACATAGACACACACACAGACACATACATACAGACACACACACACACACAGACACATACACATACACAGAGACACACATACATGCAAAATATTTTACTCACCCTCCTTTTGCCTACCTTTTAGGTGCAGGAGGGTGACTTCCCTGGGGTCCAGTGGCTCAGGTTGATAGGAGTCAGAGTTCCCATTCTGACTCCCTCTACTTCCTCCCGCACGGCTTCTGGTGGTTGCTGGGAGGAGTGACCGGGGCAGTCACTTCCTCCCAGCATCTGACATCATCAGAGGGGGCCCGGTCACGTTGTTACATTGCATCGGACCGCACTCCTAGGAGTGTCGCTTCTCCTGGTCACAATACTTTGGAGGATTCAACCGTTGTTCCCTCTCTTGCTGGAGTTGTCATGCGAAGGCCCTCTACTACTTGCCTCCTACGGGATCCACAAGGGAATCCACATCCACTGATACTAGAGGATCGCCTACCGCTAAGTGGCTTGGACCGTTTCCGGGGTTCATGGGAGGTGTCGGGCCTATCGACGATGGTTAGAGAGTTACTCCGGGACTCTTTGGCGTCTGGCACCAAAAGATCATACCTGTACGCCTGGTAGCTGGAGAGACGTTTGGATCCCTTTACGGCCCAAATCATGGCAAACTTGAACTTCCTGGCTGAATTGTTTTCTCAGGGTAAGTAGTATAGGACCATTAACATCTTTTGGTCAGCTAGTTTGATGGCTCATGTGCCTTCTCAAGATTCTGGCATTGATAGGACCCCTCTGTCTGCAGACCTTTCGGGACCCCTCTCGCTATTCCTAATTTTGGGTTGTATCGCTTGTTTTGTGATCCCTTGAGGAGTGGCCTGATAACAGGGATTTGACTTTGTGCCAGCTTTCCACTTAGCTGGCTCTCCTGTTATGTCTTGTATCTTTTTTGATGTTCATGCTTCTGATGTAGACTTTCTCCTTCTGACCAGATGGTGTGTCTGTTTCTATTTCACGCAGGACGAGATCTCATTCGTCTTCTGGGTCGTATCCTTACTCTCCTGATTGGCCACGTCTCTGTGTGGCACGTTGCCTAAGGGCATCTGTTGATTTCCTACGTACGACCGTTTAGGGCT